CTAAAGGGGCGGGGGGTGATCCAGGGGGGGGTGCTTCCCTAAGGCTCCTTGAGGAACCCAAAACGGGCTCTCAACTCCCCCCCCCCACAATCAAAGCAAAACCGATCCAAAGGAAAGCAAAACAGTGGAATCTAGTAGGAACAACATCTAGAATCCACCGGTACGGGTGCCTCGTCCCTGCCTCATTAATGACATGTTTCAGATAATTTTGAGGGTCCAGGCGCCAGTATTGACCTGAATCATCCAAATTGGGACCAAGGCGATTCTTTTAAGACTGTGGATGGACGAAATTTCTTTCGCACCATCTAAGAAAACCTGAAATGAATTCGGTTCCCCTGCAAAGGCCAACAAATGTTATGGTTTCAGCCACGGTTTCATCGATTTCGTGGCGCGAGAAGCGGATTTCGCAACCATCCACCGTACTTGGGGGCAAGGAACGTCACTTAAAGGGGCATTGTGGTTACAGCCCACAAAAGCCATGGTTGTAAGTCTCCGTTCTGCGGGTTATAACCACTCTTACTCACCACTTACCTGACGTACCTCTTACTCTCCCTTCAAGTAGGGGCCTTCCATTGGGAAAAACAAACCAGGAGTCTCCATGACCCTTAAAAAATGGTTGGTCATGGACCCAAAATAAGGCTTTTCTTTTTTGCCCTTCACTGCCGGGGGGGGCTCCTCCTTCCTTTTCTTCTCAAATATATTTTTCTATGACCTTCATAAAATGGTTGGTCACTGCCCAAAATAAAGAAATGGGTCATGGACCCGTTTTTGATTCGGGTCATGCAGACTCCAGAGCCCTCCGCCCACCCCGCCTCCACGACACCCTCAGCGACCTCTTGAGCCGCAGCCTGCACCTCCGATCCCAGCTGGCCCAGAGTCGTGGCGCCTCGCGGAGGTTTTGGCGCGTCCTGGTGGTTGAGGCCTTGGGGTTTGAGGGTGTAGCAAAGTCACCCCCTAAGTAGTGGGCTAAAGGGAAATAACCCCCATTTTCTGACTTTGATAACCCGCAGAAACCGCCAAAATGTTGACCCCAGCGTGCCGTTTGGAAAAAAAGATGGCCCTGGTAAATGGAACAAAACAACATGTAAACCAGTGCCATCTATTTTTAACCAGGCTCACCTACAAAGGACACCTATGCGTTTGGGGGTGTAGCCCCAAACAAAAAGGGCCGTGGGTCCGGTGCCCCCTTTTGTCTCTTGTATCCTTTACAAGAACCAGGAAACCACCTGGTTCAAACCATGAATCAAAGGCTAGGTCCTAGAGAGGTTAGAATAAGGCCACCAACTTCTCTCCTATAGTCTACTTTAGTAGGGGAACCCTCCTCCTAAAAAAGTTGGTAAAAGGGCACTGCTGGGGGACCTAGCTATAGTCCAGTGGAGAAAGGGGCAATTATCTTTTGGGTTCTATGTGGCCATGGGTCGAAAGCCAATCGAACCCCAGTGAACATCCCAATCCCCACTCAAATAGACTAAAATGGGTGGTGCACCTACCCCAAAAAGCCCGGTTAGCCCCCAGTAAACATCCCAATCCCAACTCAAATAGCCGAAAATGGGTGGTGAATTCAACTACCAACCAAAATGGGATTTCATTGGTTCTGACTCTTCAGCCCCTTCGGCGGACAGACGGGGCCAAAGACCTTTGCGATTTCCTGAAAGGGGCCTACCGGACCCTCAGAGAATTCTCTTAAATATTGGGTATTGCAACCCAAAAGTATGGGGTGGATTCCCTCTTTGATTTCTAGTTTCAGGGTTTTCCGGTAGAAGGCTGAAGGCAACTTAAAGCTCAGACGTCTAGATTTCAAATTTCATTCCCCCAAACACACCAGCCCAAAAACCATCTCCAAATATGTTTCTGGGCTGCCCAACCTGATCCCCCGCTAAAAGTGACTAACTTTTAGTGGGCCAAACGCAAACTACCACTAAACACTAAAAGCTAAAAGGCTAAGGAACCGGATGGAGAGCACCCAAGATTTCCCTGCCGGAAAAGTGTGAAAGTTGATTTGGGAAGCCATCCGTGCAAGACTACTGAAGCCCTCACCACCCCCACCCCCCGCCCCGCCCCACCCCACCCCACCCCACCCCCACAAAGACCCCACCCCCCACCGCTTACTCCTCAGCAAGCGATAGGCCGTGAATCGCTGCCCAGTGGATCCCAGGCTGTTGCAGGGCGCTTGCTTTGGTTACCTACTATGCAGGTAAGCGGAATTGTTGGGTTTAGCCACAAAAAGACGAAGCAAAAAATATAGTAAACTTTTGTCAATTGCCGGCCCAAACACCCAACCACCCTCGCAAAGTGGACCATGTTGTAAGCTGGTTCTATCCTCGGCTACCACCTGCTTGCAAACTGGGCCAGGTGGATCCCCGGTCCCCAATCCTCCGTAATCCGTGGGACGCTACAAGGGAAACCATCACCCAGCAAAAGGACTAAGGATTGATTTTCAACAACCACCGGCTTCCCTTTTCCCCTTTAATCATCACCCAACCAAAAGCCAAAGGGAACTTGAGGCCCAAATATGTAACTAAACCACTCGAAAGGGCAAATATCTGGTCACATGATTTTGCGATCAGCGCCGAAGTGGTAGGTCAAAGGAAAACACCTCCAGTATCCAGACACGATCCACTCACTTGCAAGGACCCAGAAATGAAAGGCTGGACCAAAACAGGCAAACCAAAGGACCTCAACCAAATCCCGCGAAACAAATTTGTATTCGCAACCTCAAGCTACGGGGTGAACTCCGTTTGTGTTTGCGTAGTTTGAGGATTTCAGGGACCAAAGGGGTAACGCCAACAAACAAAAGAAACGAGCCACCCAAGAGGCTCGCCTCTAAACCTTCAAAGTTCCAACAACAAAAAAGACGATCGAGTTGTTCAGTGACCCTGGAAAAAAAAGGAACCCTTTTTGGGGCTTGGACCATTTTACTGGGGCAGCCACCAAAAACAAGTGGAAAAAGGGAGCCACTGAACAATTGAGAGGAAGATCGACCCAATCAAATATGGCCGTTTTTCCCCCTTGTTTTATGGGCAGCTCGAGCTTTCCAGGCGCACCCACAACGGGGACCCCGTGTTTCGACCCTTTGTAGCTGTTGATCCCTCTGCAAAAAGTGAATAACTTTTTGTGGGTTTAGTGGAAAACCCCTTGATTTCCCAAAAAGTTAAAGTCTAAAGATCCAACCCAATAGCAGTCAAGGACCCGCAGCGCCAACTTCGTCGCTTCGCCTTGGAGGCGCTTCGCCGCCCCGAGGGCGCGGATCCGTGCACCGCCGGAGAGGCGATCCAGGAAGATGCGGGGAGGGCGCTGCAACTCGGAGTCGGGGACGTGATCCGCCATGGCCGGGTGGAGAGTCAACCCTGAACCCTCGCAAAGAACCCGGCAAAAAAATATGCAAATCTGGGCAAGCTGGATTTCACCAACCATTCTTGGCAATGACACCAGACTCACTCCACTGACTCCAAATTCCCTCGTTTTGAAGAATGTGTTTCGTTTTGTCACACACCAATCTGGTCGGACCAAAAGACAAGCCCTTTGGGTTCAAATGCAGGTATGGGTGGCGTTTTTTTTTGGAGGGGGGGAAATCAGAGGGAGGTTTCAAAAGTTGAGTCCATCTGGGTGCTGTTTCGATGTGTCCCCGGTTGGAGTGCCCGCAGTTAGACCCAAGCCCTGTCCAGAGCTTGGAACAACACCCGAAACTCTGCAAATGTCCGCCAAGTTCGGCAGGCATCAACCGGCTTCGGCCTCAATTGAACAAGCCGACCTGGGGTTCAGCTGCAAGCAGCAAGTAAAAAGTTGATTGAGGCAGGGCGAGATGATGTTTGCTTCCTCTTGGGCGTCTTTTCAACAAAGCTGCAGGTCAGGAAGAAGCAGTCGGATATGCTCCGAACGCCGCGGTTGAGCCGCCGCGCTTCGAAATGCACAGGCCGGAGTTGCGGTTCCTGGAACACATGGGGGGGGCCGTCCAGTTTCACCGCGTGTTGCGCCAAGTGAACACATCGTTGTTTAAGAACTGGGCAGAACAAGGGGGAGTCCTCCATGCCTCATTTCTTGGTCCCCGCAAAAGACAGAAACTAGTGTACCTCCAGTGGCTTAAGTAGTGATAGATTCCCTTTAACACAGCAAATGCAACATATCCTCAAGCAAATGGAAGTATGGGGGAAGCTCCATGTTTTTGTTTCTGGGACTGCAATGCCTGAACTGCAAGAAACCCTTTCGGCCCTTTGATTCCACAATGTATCAGTAGATGGCCCTCCCTTTATGCGCATCAGAGGGAATTGGGTGACCGCACGCAGGAAGTGGTTCAGAACCCTGCCTAATAAGTCCCGAATCCGTGGCATGCTGTGGATGGAAGAGTTCCTGCACCGCCTGAGAAACCCTGGAACTGCAAATGCCAACAAGACATGGTTTCAACCACGGGACAGAATTTCGTCCATCCACAGTATGTGGGGTAAGTTTACTTAGGGAACAAATTAACTTGGGATATTCACCACTTACTTGGCCTGGAACTGTCACCCAGCAATGCTTCTCTTGAAACAAACTACACCAAAGCAAAACCAGAAGTTGTGTGGGCAAGCAAGGGGATGATGAGTAGGCCCAAATTGGATAGTTGCGCCATCTACTTTCACCAAACTGTATGTTGGCGAATTAAACTACCAATTTTCCCACAACCAGGTTTCTTAATCTGAACTTCGGATTGATCCGGAGGCCTACTCCTGGATGGTTACCCTCGAAGGAAATCATCTATTTTGACGGGGGGTCCTCTGTATAGCTAGTAATGTTGACCCCGGATTAATAAACCCGAAGTTTTTTAACATGGGGGGGTTCCCCTCCAAAAGTGGTCTAAATCCCCGCTAAAGCCAGAATCGGACACCCCCATATGAATAAACTGGGTGTTCTGCTTAATCCGGGGTGAACATTAATTAGGGTCCTTGTTTGGATTCATCCAAACTTCGCATCACTTCTGGCACCCTTGGACCTCCCTGGCACCAGCCCCGAGCCCAACCCCTCTCCGTCTCCGAGAGCGTGCGGCTGAAGGCTCGCGCCATCTGCTCTGCCTGCGACACTTGCGCCTGCTTGACCTCCGCCTGTGAACGGCGACCGATGGATGCCACGTGGGACCCGGAGCCCCGAAGGACACCGTCAGTTGGATTGTGAAAAAGCTGCGCTGCCCGACCAGATCCCCCACTAAAAGTTTAACTTTTGGTGGGTTAAATGGACACTTCCACTTAACACTAAAAGGCTAAAAAGCTAAGGGGATGGCTGGGAGCCACCAAGAAAGACAGAGTCACTTCGTCCGTGGAGCAAGTTCCTGGCATCCGAAAACTACCCTGACCCTCAAAAGTTCAACTTGAAAGTAGGTGTTTGCAACCGAAAATTATGGTGGGCGACTTCCAATTCTGTATTTGCTATGGGTAGTTTGAAGGGCCAGGTGGACCACTCCACACGGCTTCCTGTTTGATTGAACACCGATCGATACCAAATTTACCTCAAACAACAGAATAGTTTGGCAACCATCCACAGTAGGGTTCTTATGGTGTCTTTTCGGGTATTGGTATTTAGGGCTCTCTGGGCTGCAACTGTTTTTTTGTTTCTTTCATGTTTAATGTTTTCGCGACCTGGCAAACTCCAGGTTTATTAAAAACAAAAAACAACATGGGAAGTTCTTGAGGGTCCAGGTACCTGGAGTCTCGTTACATTCCCAAAATTGGGTTGTTGCTCCAAATGTATGGGTGGAAAATCCACTTTTTTAGGTGTAGTTGAGGGTCCAAATAAATACTAGTAGGTCTTCCAGATTTGAGAGGTTAGAATAAGGGTACCAACTTTTTTTCTGTGGTGTATTTTAGTAGGGAAACCCTCCCAACCAAAAAAGGGGTGAGAACGGGCACCTAGCTCGGGGACCTAGAATATGTGCCTCAAACGTATGGGTGGAAAATCCCCCATTTTTTCCGTGTATGGATGGAACATCCCCTTTTTTCTGTGTATGGTCGGAACATCCCCTTTTTTATGTGCATGGGTGGAACATGCGAGTTTTTGTTAAAATGTGTAGTTGAGGGTCCAAATAAATCTGTGCGTCTCTGTTGCTTGTGCGGACTTGTGCGCCCAGACTCCCTCACATCCGATTCGATGGCTCGCTCAGCTGCCTGCAGCTCTGCCACCCGCAGCTCCGAGTCTCTCAACTTGAGCTCCGCCTGGCGAAGGAATCGGAGGGAAATCAAACACGCAATGCCAAAGATCCTGGACCCTCAAACGACCTGTCTCCATGACCCTTTAAGAGACCCGGGTGTTAATGGGGATGTGATTCAACTTCCCTTAAACATGTAAACATGGGTGATTGCAACCCAAAGCTATGGTTGGTGATGTCTCTTTATGGGTACCTGAAGTCTCCATGACACCCGGGTGTTGGTGGGGATGCGATTCTAACATGAAAAATGTTTAAACATGGGTCCATGACCCCTGTATTTTTGGTAATTACCCAATACTTTCAGGGTCATGGAGACTGGACGTACCCGTAAAAAAGGGACATCACCAACCATAGCTTTGGGTTGCAATCACCCATGTTTGCATGATTCAGGGAAGTTTGAGAGTCCAGGTACATCCGATTCAATCCCGACTCAAATAGGTTCCAAAATGGGTGGTGCACCTACCCCAAAATGGGATCCCATTGGTTTTGACCCACAGCCATACAAAAGGGACATCACCAACCATAACTTTGGGTTGCAATCACCCATGTTTAAGTTGGAAGTTTGAGGGTCCAGGATGATTGGATATAAATGCGTACAGGGTGCCACTTTTTGACTACCCAGGAATCTCCCTGTTGGAGTTTGAGGGTGCAGGAACCCTATGGGCTTGTTTTTCACGGGACAAAAGCACACCCTTGCCATGTTGCTGCTCCAAATCCCGAGGCAAACCCATAAGGAGAACCTCACATTGCGAATAAGGACGCGAAGGAGCGGCACCAGACAAATCGATCCCCCGGAACCTTGGATCCATCGATTGGGAAGACAGCCAGCCCCAACCAGCTCCCGGCCGTTTGGGCTTCTGCCTCTTGAAGTTGCCGTCGCCAACACACTTCAGCCAAAATTAGTGGCTGAAACAGCCGGGCTGCAAAAAGCCGGAAGTTGCCAAGAGGAAAAACCGTTGTTCTAGGGGTAACTTCCATTTCCATTCTTTCCAGGGATCCTTCTTTCTAGAAAACCACCAGAAATCCTGGGGAAATGGCTGGTTTGGGAAAAGAACGATGGCTGAAAGAATGGGGAATCAACCCCTAGAGTTGTGCCTTAAATGACTTCCCAAACGAGTTGCTCACCTGTGGTCTTTGGAACCATCCCACGTTTCCACGAAAAAAAGCGGACGGAAAGCCATGTCTTTCTGTGCCGAGCTCGCCTCCTGCTGCGCATCCCGAAGTCTCGCCTGCTGGGTGTTCAGGAAGGTGATCCCCTTGTGAGCCCCAACCCGTCCTTTTTGCTGCTTTCTTTGCACGCTCGCTTCCCAAATTGCCAAAGTGTCTGGACTTTAGACGTGTTTGGCTTTGGCCCGTTGTCAGAAACAACTGCCATTTGCTTAAGCCTAAACAAATAAAAGCATCCAATACACCTGAACATTGCCTTGCAAATGGTGGTTTCCCATCATTTTGGTGGAAAAAGCAACATGTTTCCAATAGTTGCAAAATGTATCTGTTAAGGAGCCCTGCCATTTTGAAGGGGATTTTGAGGGTTTAGGTCGTTTTGAGGGTCCAGGCGTAGGTGTAGCTACAAGACGTTGACGTGCAAAAAAATCAAGCCTTCAATGGGGTCCCACTGGTCTTGTGGGCCCTTTGCCCAACAACATCCGGCGTATCCCGGTGGTGAAAAACGATGGCAACGCAGATTTCTTTGGGGTGGGCACCCCTATTTGCGAGAAATACTGTGCATGTGCAATGACAAATACTACTCATGCACAGTTGTTCGCCAAACAGAAGGTTGTGTTTGTTGATTGAAAGTTTAGGAACAGGGGGGTTCTGTTTCAAGGCACTCACAGGCATAGGGGCACCTCCGGAAACACTCTGAAAGATATGGGTTTCCCTTGGGGTGTGAGCTGGAAAAAAGGCATACCCAAGTAAGTAAAGGAGCATCTTCATGGATGAGCTTGTTTTGGGTGAGCTCAATCTAACTTTGCCCAGGTGCATAGATTTCCATTAAGGCGACACCTCCAAATGGGTGTGTCTGTTTTTAGGGGACTCACCAAAATGGTGAGGTTTCCTGTTGGAATCCCATTTACACCACCAGCAAAGAAAAAATCCCTCAAAAAGACAGATCAAAATATGGTGGTTTCACCATTCAAAAAGCTCCACTTGGGATCCTGCAGATGGTACCCACTTTGAAAGACTTGCCCGTACTGTGGACCCAAAAATACAACGTGTTGCTTTTCAGGGACCCAGCCTTTGGTTTCCAAAGGTCTTGCTAGTGGACAACAGCTGCCACTTCAACCCTGGCTCCTATTTGACTCTCTTATACGAGAATGGTTGCATCCTTTTCTAGGACCCCCATTGTTTCCGGAAGAAAAAAATGGGCCCCCGGTTCTGGTCGCGCTCGCACAGGGTGCACTCATGAAGCTGAATCTAAAACATGTTGTGTTCGCTGGTATAGCTCTCCGACTTGAAACCCCCCGACCACAGTTTCACACACAAAGTATAAACCTGTGGCAATGGGTAGTTCTTTCGGGTCCAGGACCCCGCACATGACTTCGACCCAACCTTCGCCGCGCGACGTTTCGTCTTCGATTTCCAGCCTCCAGCTCCGATCGGCTGCGCTCCTCCCAGTGCTGCTTGTCTGCCAGGTGCCGGTCCTTCAACTCCTCGGCGATCCGCCTACGACACTCGCGAGACGCCAACGAAGCCGAGGCAACGAGAGATCGCATCTCTCGCGCGCTGATTTTGGTCATCCCTCGATAAGGGTTCCTGGAGCCTCCAAATTCCAACTTGACCATGCCAAGAATTGCTTGCTTTGCCCGAAGAATGCCCAAAATCTGTGTGTTGCTACAAATGTGTGTTTTGCCAACGCCCAGTCGGCAAGCGGGTACCTGGACCCTCAAACCACCAACTTCAACATGGGTGAATCCAACTTGTTCATTGCTAGTCTGAGCATTCAGGTACCCTCAAAAAAAGACACACCCATATATGCTTGTAACAACGGTTTGTGTGGGTTGTACATTCCCCGAAGAATGCGATGTTTGCCAACAGGCCCCTTTCTGTATGGGTAGTTTGAGGGTTCAGGTTCATTGGAGAGCTGTGGGAGTTCATTGGACTATATTGGAAAGGGCTCATCACTCGAGTTTCTGGCCCAAAGCGGATTAATTACGTCGAATAGCCCATGTGTGTTTCTTGTTTTTTTTTTGCATACTGGCTATCTGGTATGCATCCAAATCTGACAACTTGAACATTATTTACCCAAAATGATCGATTTGGAGTATCGGATGTCAAACTCCGCAAAGGAGTCCCCTTCCCGATCCCACATCTAAAACAAATATACTGTACCCTAAATTTAAGCAACTACTTTTGGAGTAGACCCCAGGCAACCCGAGCACCAAGCCACCAGTTTAGACCAAGCGGACAGCTTCTGGGTGTGATGCTCGAAACCAATTTTGGGACAGATTCAACACACCCAAAGCTGGAAAACCCGCCAAAAAACCTTGCTTCTTTCCTGTTGGGCGGGTACCATCTCCGTGATGCGGATCTCTGACTATGCTGCACTATGCTTTATTCTGTGCCTAAATCGGAAAAAAATGGAGCAGCTGCCAGTTTCCCTCCACAAGCAGGGGCCGGCCTGGGCGCTTCTCAAGCCCCCAAATAACACGATCTGATTCAAATAGGTAATGTCCAGCTTGTCGGGTTAAATGGTTCGCCGCCGCCAAAATACGGTTTCCTGGTCCCTCAAACTTCCCATCAAAAACTCATAACGTAAACTGGTCTTCCCAGGAGTGAGTAATCTTCCGTTTGCTTGAGTTCCCTGGCAACAACAAATCATATTTTCAGTAGTGATAGATTCCCTTTGAAACCACCCGGAGAAAACGAAGATATTATTTTGCAAGTTGAAGTCATATGTCCCGTGCCATAAATCTAAAACCGTTTTGGAGCCTCCGATTTGACCGAAAGAGCCGCATCTCATCCCATCTATCTCTCTCTCTCTCTCTGGGTCCTGCAGCTGCGCCTGGCAAAACAGATGCGGGAAAGGGGTGGAGAAAAAGGCAAGCCATGACATCAGCAAATTTGAGTAGAATTCAACAAGCTGAAATTAAGGGATCCCCAAGTAAAGGACCTTATAGCCCCAGATGCGGTCGGTATGAAATAGGCAGATGACATGGAGGTGATGAGGATAAGCCTTACACGCCAAAATTGCCCCTATACTTAGGCTTTCCTCTGGGTTTCCCCAAGGGGGGGTTCGGAAGAAGGGGCTGGGTAAATTATGTCACAACCAGGAATCTCCACGGGCTGCGTACAACTACCCCGCCCCTCAGGACAACCGTTAAGGCAAAAATGCGGCGCTACCCTTGTGGCAACACCTCATCGATTGGATTTCCAAGGGAAAAGCGACTCTTGGGCACCTGTTCTTTGGTAGTGGTTTTGCAAGGGGGCCACGCCCTCCATTGAAAATGATTCGGCGCCACTGAAAAGGAGCAGGTGCAACAGTTGGTTTTTCTTAGGACCATCTAGCAAGGTCAGCTTCCCCACTATAAACCCGAGCTGACCACGGGTGGCTGGAAGTCCGACATTCTGAGTGAATCACCTTGGGCATCCAGCTTGCTTCGCGCCAGTTCGCTCGCTCTAAATATGCCGGAGGAAACAACTATTCGTATTTTCCTGAGTGTGCTTGAACCCTCAAATGTCCCTTAAACATGGGTTGCTGCCCCAAAATTATGGGGGAGAGTTCCCCTTTTTTATGGGTAGTTGGAGGGTTCAGGCAGACCCAGTCTTCCACCCAAGGAACCGCTACCTGAACTTCCACCTTGTGGTTGGCTTTCAAAGGGAAACCTGCTGCAGACCTGGTGAACATCTGATGTCTTGGGAGGGGTGGGAGGGGTGGGAGGGGTGGGAGGGGTGGGAGGGGTGGGGGGGGGGGGGGGGGGGAGGGGTGGGTGGGAGGGGGTGGGAGGGTGGGAGGGGTGGGAGGGGTGGGGGGGTGGGAGGGGTGGGAGGGGTGGGAGGGGTGGGAGGGGGTGGGAGGTGGGAGGGGTGGGAGGGGTGGAGTGGGGGGGGAGGGGTGGGAGGGGTGGGAGGGGTGGAGTGGGGGGGGGTGGGGGTGGGAGAGGTGGGAGAGGTGGGAGAGGTGGGAGAGGTGGGAGGGGTGGGAGGGGTGGGAGGGGTGGGAGGGGTGGGAGGGGTGGGAGGGGTGGGAGGGGTGGGAGGGGTGGGAGGGGTGGGAGGGGTGGGAGGGGTGGGAGGGGTGGGAGGGGTGGGAGGGGTGGGGGGCTTTACCATGTACAGCCTAGACCTTTAAACCGAAGTCAATAGGCATCTGGGAACCGCCCGAACTGGCAGAAGAGAATTCGGGGTTCCCGCCCGAAGTGGTTCCCAAATCCGAAAGCGAAGGAAGGCTCCTGAGGCTCAGAGGGAATGAGTGCCCACTACTTGCTTGACGTTGGGTTTGGGGAGCAAAAATTCTCAAATGTTAGCAGTTAAGTGGAGGTTCCCACTAAACCACAAAAAGCAAAATGTAAAATGTGTCCCAACGACAACCATGACTAAGACCGGTACTTGGCCCCCTGACTGTCTGACTGGCCCCGAAACGACCTCAAGGATTGAAATGCGCATGGTGGGCATCCCGATTTGTCACTTTGAAGGGGTTCCCTTGGTATCAGATTGTTGGTTCCCAACTGATTGGAAGTGGAAAGAGGGGCCAATAGCGACCAACCTGTAGTTGTTGTCCAAGCCGCCCTGTCAGTCTCTGTTGTTGGAAAACATGGTCTGTGTACGGTCCCCTTCGACAACCAAGGGGACACCGCCAGTCTACTTTTCTTCTGTCGAACTTCCAACTGTGGATCCTGCACCACCGAAGAAACCCAACGGAATGATCCTAAACCCTCAAAATTCCCTTACCAAATGGGTTATTGCCAACCAAAAAATATGTCTTGGCCATGTCCCCCTTCTTTTTCTGAGTACCTGGAGTCTCCATGACCCGACTCAAAACTGGGTCCATCACCCCTTGATTTTGGGTAATATGGTCAGAAGGAGACTCCGGTAGTTCTTTCGGGTCGATTCCTCGCCCGGGGCCCCCAAAAAAGCGGCCCGACGGCCCGAAGGCCGAAGGCCCCTCTGGCGGCCTGATGCTGGGCGCGGGTTTGGTCCATGAGGCCCATCTGCACGCTGAAGATCTCCTGCTGGTTCCTGAAACAAAAATAATCCGGTCGAGCACCGGGTTACCCTCAAACTCCCGATCTTGATTCAACTATATACACACATGTATATGGTCGTGTTCTTTGTTTGCTCGAAACAAGTGAAAGGAACACCAAGCACTGTCCCAGCCGTATCATAGCCATACTAATAACTTGTTGACCACCTATTAATCAACCCCAGTTTATTATCATGGGGGTGTTCCTCTCCAAAAGTGGTCTATTTTTTCAGTTAAATCCAAGGACATCCCCGCATATTAATAAACAGGGGTTTATTAATCTGGGGTCAGCATTGCCCTGAAAAAAAGGAGGTCACACCATGCTAGGGGCAATAACCCAATGGTTTCAACGATCGTTTCAAAGTGGTGCGACATGGATTTTCGCAACCATCAGTAGGCTCGTGCACTTTTGTCGGGACCCAACCATGGAATCGGCTCTCTTTTCGCTTTCCGTTCGCGGGGAGCTTGCTTTCCTCCTTGCCCTTTCAAACCAGCCAAAAAAAACGGCCACCCGCAAAAAAAGGGACACACCCACACGCCGTACGCCGACGTGGGGGGCTCAAAACAGCCACAAGGGATCGAATCCGCTTCCGGCAGGCCGTGCGCGAGCGAGCGTGGAGCGAAAAGGCGCTTGACCCGGCTTGACCCGAGGTTCGGGGAAGGTCCGGGCCCCCAAACCATATTGCCCTAGCCCCCAGAAAAAGAATGGTTACCAATGGAATTTCAGGAAAAAAACATACTGGCCAGCATGGCTGGCCAATTGCCGGCAAATCGATTTTGGGCAAAACGATGTCACTTTGTCTAAGTTACTGCAAAAGCAATTTGCTATTAAGTAATTTGCGGAGCTGGGGGTCAAAATGATTCCTCCCCCGAAAGATGGTTGAAGGGGGGATGGCGCCAGCAAGATTGCGGCAACCTGGACCCAACCCTGGCGCCAGCTTCGCCCCACAAGTCTGACACTTTTCTGGCATGCTGCATGGACAGGGGTTGAACCCCTGGACAAGCCGAATCGACGAAAACGAATCGGCAAGCTGTACACTGTACAATTCCACGCGTGCCAGCTAAGCAAAAATGCTGGCAGCATCTTGCATGGCTAGGTGCACCCAAAGCCGCACAAATTCGCCAAATTCGAGGCTCGGGAGCTTCACTTTACCACAGTTACCACAGGAAAGGATGACTTTTAGGCGGGAGTTCATGTGCAAATATCGGCTTTGGGACAGTGCAAATTAACATGGAACCTGGACAAAGAAAAACTGTTGTTAGAGGAATCTCCGTTAAGGGTCCAGGGCCCTTTTCTGGCTCCATGCTCATGTCTACTGATGGTTGCAAAATTCAAATAGCACCACCTAAGAAACCCTAGAACCCAGTAAATACTGTAAATACCAAGGCACGTTTTGGTTTCAACCATGGTTTCATCTCGTGGTGCGAAACGAAATCTGTCCATCCATAGAAGGGGAGCAGCTACCAAATAACGTCGCCAGAACATGGTGCGACGACTGTACAGGGTCGAGCCGTCGGCTCGGTTTACGCGAATCGCCGTCGCGCTGGGCGCCGAGTCAGGAATGCCACAACCGGATCGATGACAGGCGGATTCCTTAGGTGAGTCGGCAAAAGCAGGTACCTATAGACCCTCAAACTACCCATAAAAAAGGGAACATCACCCCATATGTTTGGGGCAAACACCATTTTGTCAAAGGGAAGTTTTTGAGGGTTTAGGTACGACTAAAAGAGGTCCACCCAAACCAATTTCAAGAAATCAAAACCTAGTACTCAAAGATACTCAAAGGGTCTGCTAAAACCAATAATTCAAACTAAAAAATTAAAGGGGATACTTGCACCAATTCATGGCTGGCACCGTTCCTGACTATCCTTGATCTTCCCAGGTGTCGATTGCGGCCCAGGTGTAGTATGAGGCTCAAAAGTAAAGCAAGCGTTGATTGAAATACTGAAGACACGAGAAAAACACAAACGACAGAACCCACACAAAATAAGGGCTCTACATCTTCCATGTTAATCAGGCGGAGTATTCAGGGACCCTTAGTAACTCCTCCCGCCCAAGACCCCAACATATTTGGGCCTACTTGGCCTTGCTTGGCGCTATATTACTGAGGCTTGTGAACCCAATCTTGCAAGGGTCTGAAGCAGGCAATCTTGGCTTGAGGGTTTTCGGGTGCTCTTGCGCCTCGCCCATTGGCAACTGAGACTCCTCATGCGAGTACGTGGTCCTTGTCCGCGTCGCTTTGGCTTTGGTGGCAGGATGGTAATGGTGTGCTTCTTCAGGGGCGTACCTCCGGGGATGCATTTGTTAACTGGACTGTCCGCTTTCTGACCTCCAGCAAAAGAAATCCTATTGCTTGTGGGTTATATGAAAACTCAAGCACTCTACAACCTTAAAACAAATAATCTAAGGAACCTGGGTTAACTTGACACCCAACCTCCAACCCAACGAAAAAAACGCTATAAACTTAAGGAACCACCAAATTGAGTCGGCTCATTGATTCAACGCCCTGGCAAAAGCCTATGTTTATCAACCTCTTAGCTGGGAGTCGAGCTGGGCCAGCCGCTGGCTACATGTTGGAACGGCGATGATTTTTCAAGCACGACATGTTCTTTGTTTATATACATCGTCCGCCTTCTCCTGGCGCAGGCAGAGGCTGGCCCATGGTGGCCTCAAAGAGAGGGATCACCCGGCGGTCCTCGAAGAAGATCCTCGGACCGGGGCTGCAGGGCGCGTGCCAGAAGAAACCCAACGGCGCAAGTCTCAGTTGCCCAAAGGACCTGGAAATAAAAGGTTAACCTTTTGGGGCCATGACTTAAAATGGACCAAATCACCGAAACCAAAAGGTCAAAAGGTCGGCTTTGGGCAAGTGAGAAGTTGGACAGCCGATGGCAACTCCGGGCAAGCGCCTTACCCTGAAGACCTTTGGCTGGACCTGAACGAGTCAAGAAGGCTTCAGGCCAACGGAATTCCATATGACACTTCATGCACTTGGAGAAAGAGGTTGCTTGACACTCAAGGTCCCATTGCGGCCGATCTGTGAGTCCACGAAGCGGCTTTCCAGTTCAGATTCTTGATTTCTGCATCCCGGATAAGGTTTACCTGCGTCTTCGGGTCGCTGTGTTGCTTCCAAAGCTGCCTTTGCCCTAGAATCTGGCACAGCATTCCGTGAAAGAATTGACACCTTTTATCTCTGCGTTGTTCGAACACAAAGTAGCTGTGGGACTTGCTCGCTCCCCACAAAAGTGGCCGCGCCAAATATTGGCGCGCTGCCATTTTGTGTCAGAACGGCGCGAAGGAGCATAGAAGAGGGCCCCTCTCCTGCAAATTGACAGCCAGCAGCCCCACCTTTGCCGGCACTTGCCGGCAAAACAATGGATATCTGAACTATTGTAGGGCTGTTCAAGCGAGCGCCCAAAAGCTATTGATGCGTCAACACGGGTGCGGCGCAGGCTTTCCTACCACGGCGGTATGGTGAGGTACATCTGCCAGCGCTACCTTGTTGGAATCGATTCACTGTGTCATCCCGTTTCCAGAGATGCCCTTGCGCAATCAAAGTCGGCTGCCCCGGACTAGCTCATCATCACGCAAAAGGGCAATTCCTTGCAGGTGTCACAAAGAATGGCAACCTTGCGCGCGTGGCTTGCTGTGGCTGCCGTCCCATCGGAAGACACGGCACGCTGCCACTGTGAGTTCTTGCGAGCGTCCATCTATTGTTTCTGGTGGAAAAGCACTGTGAAACAACGATCGCACTCACGCTTCCGCTTTCCGACCGCCGTCCAACTCGGTGAGTTGGAAACCCTCCAGTACACCCAGCAATGGCATCGCGGAGCGCGCGCCACGCGCCTGCAATCGTGCTTTCTTGGGGGGCGGGAGGAGGGAGGGCGCCACACTCCCTCCAACATGCGCCACCCTCGGGCGAGGGCAAGTGGTTCGGGCCCCCGCCCCCGGAGATTTCGCAAAAGCCATCGCGCTGCCAGAAAGTGGCTGGGGATCTCAACCCTAAAGCAAGCGCGGAAGGGCAACGCTGGTGATGTTTTTCTAGAGCTGAGTACGAAATATAGTACAGAAAGCGTGAGCGGGTCCGCAGGTGGCGCATGACAATGGCCGTCTGTGGTGCCCAAATGACGGAGCATGTCACAACACTCTGCGCAAACCATGTGTTCTGCATGAATTAAACTTGGCTTCTTCTGGAGCACCGCAAAGCAGGTGTCAGGAGAAATTTTACTTCCACTTACCCCCCCCGCCCGCTCAAGAAGCAAAAGCAGGCTGCCCAACAACGTCAGCGCAACCAAAACAGTGAAGATGCTACGATGTGTATACTATGTGTATATATACATATCCATGGCCCGTGGCAAGTATACCAAACTGGGGTGGCCCTTGTTGACATACCTTCAAGAGCATATCTACAAACTTTGAAAACCAAACATGCTTCCATAGCCTAAAAAAGGACCGATGAGGTCCATTCGCTTCAGAGTGTCACGGGCCTCACGAAGCTAAGAACCTCTTAAGTTTTGCGCATGCGTGCTAAGGCTTAGGTAAACCCTCCGTGGGGCTCTTTGGCTTTTGGCGTCTCCACTCTGTTGGATGACCCCGCTTGAGTGGTTCACATCCCCAGATCCCCTAGGTGGGTTGTATGAAAGATACTCATAAGCTCTTATTTGTTTTAAGTGTCCGCCCGGCTCAACTGGTATGTAGGGCAGTTCGTTCTATCCGTGGACAGGGGTTCGTTTTAACCCATCGCCCCGCACAATGATCGGCTTCCATGTTGGGTCTCTTTCAAAGCAAGCAAAAAGGGCTACCAAGTCCAACAGAGACACATCCAATCAACCACTATCCTGCTTAGCCAGGGATATTGACAGAATTTACCCTAGATGTGATACAATTCACCAAAGGATATCAACACATTGACGTCGGGTGGTCGTCAGGGTCGATCGCCGAGGGTCATGTAGCCGCAGGTGTGGTACACAGCTGACGTGTTTCCGTCGTCCAAAGCAG